AATCATCCATGAAGTTCTTCATGCCACATAAGGCAACATAGTGACTGGTTGAGGGGATTAGGAGTTGAACATCCTTGGGGACACCATTATTCAGCCAATCACATACTGTTCATCTGATACTGATTAAAGTTTTACCACATGCCGCACATGGTTCTCAAAGCCAGTAAATGGTGAACTAGGCCTTGAACTTGTGCATTCTGGCTCTGGAGCACGCATTCTTGAGAGCTTGTTTGGAGGTTCTAGCAGGGGAGCGCAGCTACTCGTATACCTTTGACTGAGGAACGGTCCTTCTCTAGCGGGGGTGGTCGTCCTCTTCGACAGAGCATGCAGCTTTGGGAGGGACACAGATGGAGCAGTGAGGGAGGAAGGGGACACCTGCCTAACCAGCCAGATCAGCCCAATCAACCCTGGCGATCAGTGGGGTGACAGATGTCACAGCCAGGTCACCCTTACATCCTGGAGCGTGCATTCCTAAACCCTCACAAGATGTCCACTTTTGTGACTTGCTTTTTCTCTTCATCTATTTTGAATATTTTCCTATTTCCTTAATTAGTCCTCTAAATTTCAGAGTCCAAAACATAATATGTAATGGCTAAGTAATTTCTATCATCTGAATGAGAGATAACTAATGTAACCATTTTCCTATAGGCAAACGTCTGAGTGTAATCATTTTTTAAAAGCCATGGTGAAATTTCTTGTACATAAACTTCACGTTCATATGTAATTATCAGCTGAACTTGTGCCAGAAGAACTGGGAACTGGTTAGCCCGAATATGTTAGGGGATGGTGTTTTCCACAGTTTTCTTTGAGACAATATTAGGAATTTCGTGGAGTGAGGTTCTCTGGGTAGCTAAATTTTAGAAGTGTTGCATTTCTATTCCTGCAGTAGAGATCCATAATCATTGTAGTGCTAAAACCAGAGTTATTCTGGATATGGGTATAGTTCTCCCCGCACCTTTGTTTAATGAAGCATTCCCCAGACTTTCTTGTACAATTTCGTTCTCTTTGTTTGCAGCATGGAGAGCTATCTCACATTGCTAAGATAATAGGACACAATTTTGGAAACACTACTTTGGAATTAACCCAGCCAGGTAAAAGTGCTTACCCTCAAGTACCTTCAGAACCTAAAGTCTAAAATTAGATGGAATAATTTGAACAAAATCATGTGTACGAAACAAACTCCATGTTTCCCATCCTACTGAAGTCTTTGTTCTGTTGTGTCCTTACGACTGCAGTAGAGGTCGCATTGCTCCTTCTCCCTGTACTGTAAATGAGGCTCAGGCTTTCAGCCTAAACTGATGCAAGGCTGCCCTGAGGGCTACACTGCGTGGTCTGCTCATGAATTTGCCAGAGACAGTGACTGCCGTTCCTTAAGAGAGTCCTTCTGGAGAGTGTTCGGTCCAGGTGAGAAACCGGAGGTCATGACGTTAATCATTGAAAATGAAGGCTGCTGTACGGTATCATCAGCTGTAGAACCATTCACCATGAATACGTGAATATGAGAGCAAGGGTTCCTGGGGGAAGCGGGGGTGGAACCTGCTGTTATTAAGGAGGTTCTGTGAGAAATGCACAAAAGAGCAAAGGAAAATGAGCACCAAAGACAACCAGCATTGTTTGAGGGTTCTAACAGGGAGTGTCCTCTAGGCCAAGGAAAATTGAGAGGTCGAATGGGGCCATAGACAAATCTGATTGACCTCCCAGACCTCTAGCACGGGCAATTGGCTTCACCTTCCTGTACTGATCTTGGAGACCCAAACAGTAGTGGCGTCTGCAGCAGCGTCCACTGCTGGGGAAGGAGCATGGAGGTCTCTCACTTTCCTAACTGAGGGGACCGTGGGAGGCAAGCTCAGGAGCTCCTGAGAGGAGGGTGCAGACCAGATCCTACTCCTGCTTTTCGGTTGTCTGTGTGATGTCTAAGTTGGCACACGATATCCTAGCATGTGCATGAATCAGGACGGTGTGAGATTACAGAGCCCGGTGGAGGGCCCTGGCTAAGCTAGCTTTCCTGATACTGACCAGATCGATGGTCAGAAGTCCAGGATGCGGTACAGTGCCTGTGACCTCCCTGAGGCTCTGACACGGACTTGGTTATCTGAAGCCTCTTCTAAAAGCCTCAAAACCACCTTCCCTTTGGCGGCAGCTACTGCAGTCTTTGTCCTATGACCTCTGGCGGCTGTCACTGGTAACTCTTGCTCAAGGGATGTTTTTTTGGTTTTTTGGGTTTTTTTTGCCAGAGCAAAGAATAAACAGATCATCTGGGCATGATGGTACATGCCTGTAATACTCAGCACTCGGGAAGCTGAGGCAGGATTGCGTGTGACCCTGTCTCGCATGGAATGTCCTTAGTGTTTCATGGCTGACCACTTCTCTATAGTAACTTTTTATGGTTTTTATAACTCTCTTTCAGTGTATATCCCAACCTATCATTTAGTCATGATCGACCCTGGGTTTGTGCTCCAGACTAATTCTGGTTACTATCCAATGTAACTTGGGATGAAATTAGCATCTGAGCCTACATGGTCTAAGCCATTTTCAGGTGTCACAATGTCCACCTTAAATATATCACAAGGTCGTTGTAAGGATGAAATGACATTGAGGCTCCAAATGAAATGCCATGTTACTACTGCGAAGCCATTGAGTCTGTGGTTTTGTAGCCGTAGGATATTTTATTTCTTGTGCTTTGGTGAAGATATTAGACTCTTTCTCCAGATTCCCTGTGAGGGATTCTGTCCCAATCCGCAGGCGTTCACTATGTATATTTTATAACACATTTATTGATTTACCCAACACACACCAACACCTGCCTCTGGCCTTGGGCCACAGTTACTGTTGGGGTCCAGCCGTGACCATAATGGACAAGACCCTACTCTAAGGGGCCAAAACCCACATAAAACAAGGGAAATCCTAAAAGGATGAAATGCTCTCAGATGATTTCATAGTTTGACTGAGAAAGTAGGTGCTATAATTACCAGAAATGCTAGCATGCAAAAATGGCTTTCACAGACACATAAACAGAGTACTGGGAAGCCCAGTGTTATGCGTGTGAGGTGGGGAAGCTAGAAGCAGGGCATTCAGACTCTGCTTTCTAGAAGAGCAGCTGATGGGAGATGATCTAGATAGATACTTGAGAGGTCGAGTGGAAAATGATGATAATCAGCCAGGCAACTGGGTGTCAAGTTCTGCTCTTAAAAGTGTTGCAAAAATGGTATAAAGAATTCGCAGGGAAGTATTGTTCATTTTGACCCTGTAGCCATGTTATTCTTTGTTGTTTTTTTTTTTTTTTTTGGTTTTGGTTTTTCTCCGGTACCAGGAACCGAACTCATGACCTTGCGCTTGCCAGGCAGGCGCTTTGCCGCTGAGCTAAATCCCCAGCCCTGTCATGTTATTCTTTGTGATCTCAACTAAACAGTAGATAGACTCGTTGAATGCTTTCTGTTCTAAATACTAAAACTTAGCCAAGTGTGGTGGAGCACACCTGTAATCCCAGCACTTGGAAGGCTGAGGCAGGAGTATTGCTGCAAGTTCAAGGCCATCCTGGGCTATGTAGTGAGTTCAAGGTCAATCTGAACTACATAGTGAGACCTTGTCTCAAAAAAAGAATAGTAAAATATTCAGACACGAAGACAACTTGTTCCAAAAACCCTATGGAAGTTAAAGCTTGGAGAATATAATTGACCAGCCCAAGATTAAAGTGAAACAGTAAATGATGATTTACTGTTAATTAGTAGAAGAACAAGAATTAAATCCCAGGCTTTCTAGCTCTTATCAGAAGGTGCTTGTACCCAATATAAGGCAACAGCCGTCCACACAGAGGCACTGACTCTGGGCTTCGCTTGTGATTCCTGCTGTGTCAGGCAGAGGCCACGTGAGCCGTATAAGACAAGAAACATAAGTCTCCTTCAGGTTGGAACTGAAATGGATCAAGTGAGACTGGAGCCCCCCGTGGCAGTGTCCAAGTCTCTAGGCACTGAGTGGATCCATTTATTTTGCATTGTTTCTCTGCATTTCTTATTGCAGACTCCAGCTATGTCACTTACAAAGGGTGTAGTCAGAAAAATCATCACGACTGCCCCTTCCCAGAGGTGCCTTTGGGTCTCTGTGGTACTAACCCCACCCCCCTTGATAGGCCTGAAGCCAGGGCCAAGCACTCCCAAAAGGGAAGGATATAGATGCTCTTAGCAATAACGCCCCGTGTCCCCTCACCACTGTCTAATTAACCATGGGCTTCTTCTCCTCATCCTAAGAATTCCTGAAGGGCATCTCAAGAGCTAAACTCATGCTGTTCCACCTCTGGGACACACTTTTCTCCTGCTTTTGTTGGTATTTGTTTCTTAAGATCTGGGAAGACCTCAAACTCAGATGCCTTCAGGACTCTACCAGGTAAGGAAAATGAATGAAACTGGTGAATATAAGACCGGGTGACCTGAGAAAAACAAGCCTCACTCTTATTCAAAGGTTTCGCAATACTGTGTTGTCCATGCAGAAATCCTGGACAGGTCAGCTGACAATTGGCCGCCTGTAGCAGAGGACGGAGGAAGCTGGGAAGGCTAGGTACCATCCCTGGCTCTGGTGACTTCTGTTCAGCACAGAATTCTCTTTGTGGAATCTCAGGTTGCCTAGTCAGTAACAAGTGGGTCTCTAAGGCTCCAAGGCGCCCTCTCCTCTGACAGTTGAATTCTCTGCGCTATGATAGAATATGTGTCTCTAAGACAACTGGAGCCACTGTCTGTCTGATACATATGCACAAAGTGCCTGCCAGGCTTGTTTGATCTAACTGACTTTTTGGAACCAGTGTCTTTGAGGTCTTTGTTGGATGACTGTGCATTTTCCCTAAGGGCTTTGTTTCCTTATAAAATAGTCAATGCCTACCCATCATTCTGGAACCACTTTGATGTCAGAAGTTGCTTTTTTTGTTTTTTTGGCGCCAGTTTTCTCTTCTTTCCAAAAGCAGTCATGAGCAGACAAAGCTTAGAAAGGGTGTTCTCTTCGTGTTGTTTCAGGGAAAATAGAGAAAGTCAAACCTCCTCCATCCCCCACAACTGAAGGCCCCGGCTCGCAGCCTGACTTAGCCCCCGAAGAGGCTGCAGGAACGCAGCGGCCCAAGAATCTGATGCAGACCCTCATGGAAGACTATGAGACACACAAATCTAAAAGGCGCGAGAGAATGGATGATAGTAGTGTAAGTGTTTCCTCCTTTCCTTGCAATGCTCTGAAGGTGCCTGTCTGTGTGGCTAGTGGTATTCCAGTCCAGGGATGGATGTGTGCAGTTGTCTGGCCAGCATCATGGGTTCAAAACCAATTTTCAAATGTGGGATTTAATGTGCCTGGAGTTGGGTTTGGGTTTCTGCCTTGCTTCTCGGCACTGTTGACCATGCAATGAACTGGTCCTTTTGCTGCCTAGTATAGCTGGAGCCCGCTGGCAAGGCTGGTACATAAGAAGTTTGGCGGACAGAAAGACCCCATGCAAAGGCAGCCAAGAATGAAGGCCAGGAAGCTTCCTCAGGCTTGCTTTGTAGAGAATTTATGTTTCTGGAGAACAATGAAATGCTGCTCCTTCAATGTCTACTCTGTGGCAATCATTATAAATGTTACACAGTGCTCAGAAGGCTAAGTGTGTTTTGGACCGTTTCCAAGCCCATGCATGTAGTTTGGAAGGAAAGAGTCATCCGAAATGACAGTTAAAAACCGCATAGCTACCCCTAAACCCCAGCACTTTCCAGTGGCTATCACATGAACTAGGAAGGCATCATCTGCTCTGTGGTTTCTTTGTCCAGTAAGAGACTTTGGAGTTCCTGTACATGGTCCGTAGTAGCCTGGGGTCAGTCACAGGATTTCATACCGGCACCTGAGAGCCTCTGGCATCAGTCTCATAGCACTGATCAAAGTGACCCCTCCCTTCCCCCAGGTACACTCAGGGCACAAATAGTTTGGATTGGGCAACGGCCCCATTTATCCAGGACAGGTCCTGGTTTAGGCCTGTGGTCTGGTGTAATTATGAACAGTGTCTCCTTTCACCCTTAACCGTTTCCTCCTTTGTTCGGTAAACTAGCTGGTTGCCTTAAACTTGAACACTTCATAGTAGGACTATGCTGCCTTTCATATCCTGGCTGGATAAGCAATGAATCTCTAGAGTCAAAGCCAGACACTGCTATTTGTTTTCAACACATGTGGCAGTAAAGAAACGAAGAAAGCGAGCATGCAAAGAGCAGCCTGCCAGCTCGCTAGGCAGCTCCCGTCTGTCCCTGACTTTATCCCAGGCTGCGCAGAGGAGTGGCATGGCTGCCATGCAAGGCTGGAGGACTTCCGGTCGGTTCTCTGTGTTTCACAGTGGGACAGAGCCTGGCCCTCTTTGGCTGCCGTAGATATTTCCTCTGGGCATTAAGAATGAAGTGCTGCTATGCTTCCTGAGCTGCAAGACATGTCCTACCCACTTAGTCACCCTAGCTAGCCCCTTCTTGGTATAAAGCTCACCTTTAGCTATGTTCATTTATCTGTGGTCATTTTGCAGTGCAGTGCTGTGAGTGTGTTCCCTTTTCCCTCCCACTAATCCATTAGCTGCTTTTCTGGAAGGTAGCTGAGTGGATTCTTCCCATTCTGGCATGGATGGGAAAGAACAAGCTGAGCCCTGAGTTGTGATCCTATGAAGGTTTTCTGAGCACACTCTGTGTGTCTCTTGTCTATGCCTTTTGTGGTAGAATGCAGCTATTAGGGAAAAAAAATATGGTACCCAAAAGGGAAGAGCCAGCTCTTAGTCGGTTCATAGGCAGAGGACTGGACGCCTCGCACATCTAGAGTGCAATACTCACACTGCCCCCTAAACAATTGTCGGGCAGTTTGTGTTTCCCCTTTGCATTAATGAAGCTCTGTGGAGTCAGTATGTGAATAACTGTGAAGAGGTGACTTCCTGCTTCTAGTTTGTCTAAAGCAAGAGACATTTCAGATAAGGTAGAAACCCACTCACTAATTGAGCAGTTACTATCTCTGGGTCTTGGATTGGAGCCAAGTGTTTAACTGTTCCTGACATTACAGTAAGCAGAACCAAGTTTGTTGTTGAAAATTCTTAGGTGCCACACACATGTAACCCTAGCACCCTGGCAGGCTGAGGCAGGAGAACTGCCAAGTTCATTCCCAACCTGGATGACCTAATGACTTAGTGAGACACTGCCTCAAAAGAAGAAATGGAAAAAGGATTGGGGATTTAGCTCAGTGTGAAGGCCCTGGGTTCAGTCCTCAGTTCTGCAAAAGAAAGGAAGAAAGAAAGAACAAAAACTATTCAATCTACTAAATCCACTACCTCCTTTTTTCAGAGACTCAACCTCAAAAAATATGTTGCTTCTGAAGCAACTCTGTGATCATCAGCCAGACTTCACCTCAGAACCACCTGTTAGCTTGTCTCCTTGTCCTAACATGCAGGATCTTTTCTATTGTATCTGTGACAATCACTGGAAAATGTAGTCAAGTTTACCTATAGGGATGAACAAACTTCCTTTCCCCTATGGTTCCTTCTCCATTTTTCTTCAATTGTCCCTTATATGAAAGGATTGTATTACTGGCTTCCCCATCCTTATTCCTAGAAGCTAGAGATAATTGCCCTAAAGGTAAAGTAATTCTGCTCTCCTTGCTGCAGTCACATACACCATCTCAGGGCATCATGTGCTTTCTTAGATTCTCCACCTTCCCTAAGAGCATCACGTGGGCCATGCTGGTACCTCAGCGTCACACAGCATCACCCCTGACACCCCACCTGCCAACATTCCTTCCAGTAAGTGCCTGGGCAACACTTTTGCATGCCTTTTCAGAGATTAGAAACTACCCCTAAGACTCCTATGGATCAGGATCAGAGCCCTTGCCTAAAGAAAGCACAATGGTATCCAACTTTTATTAAAGGTAGGAAAAGAAACAGGCTCTCCACAGTGAGTTTGGGCCAAATAAATGTAGGAAAAAAAGTACATCTACAGTGAGAGGGTGAGCTACCACGCAAGAGAGAACACAATGGCCAATAGCATGAGTCTTGCAAGTTGAATGAAAAGAATTCTCCTTTGCTATGCCTCGCAAGGAGAAGACAGATGAGTGCAAGACAGTTGGGATGTGTAAATAATGGGGTGCATCAGACAGTGATATCCATGAGTATGAAGGGCAGAAAAAGAAAAGGAACCCAGGTGAAGCCAGGGCTAGATTTGCTGAGAAACTTGTGCCAAAACACTGAGAAAAGCTGATCCTTGCATTAAATCAGCTTGAGACCACTGAATTTTTTGGAGTCCTGTCTACAGCTCAGGGTCCTGCTCTCTTCACTTTTCTCACTTTATGAAAAATCGTATACAGGCCAGACCAGAAGGCCCCTGGCTCACGAAATCCTGTTCAGGGCACGATGTGAGTGAAGCTGCGCAGCATTTGGTGGTCTTTGCCCCATCCTAAGCTGCCTTTCTCTCCTGCTGGAGGCAAAGTAGTTACTGAAGGGCCCTGCAAATGACAGAGGATGTAAAATGAAACCACAACTCTCTTGGAATGTGCACCCAGGAGTCACTATGTGGACGATAAGGACGTATCTGTGGATGTTCTGCTCATTTTGCAGTTGGTGAAAACAGGTCAATGATAAGAGCTATTTCCCAAAGCCACCCCCTCCCCCACCCCTGGACCATACTTACTGCTAGCTCGGAACCCGAGCAGGGTGCTCCCCGCAGCGATCAAAGTGTTCACTGGACCTGGCCCCGCTGCCTTGCTCTGTGTGGTCACCAGTGAGTATCTCCAGCTCGAGGCTTCTACCCACTTATTAATGGAGTCCTTGGCTAATTTTTGAAAAAGGAGAGTTGCTTTCTCCACCCTTGCCAGGGGCTAATTACCACCCTTTACAGAACCTCTGTATGGGTTAGAAAAAAGGCACCTTTGTCCTCTGGGAGGATGCAGCCCTGCATCAGCCTCACAGTTGGCTTGAGCTGGGCTTGAGCACCATTCATCCCGTGAACTTGGTGCCCTTGTGCACTGCACAGATGTAGTAACCCTACTTTTACTGTGGGCTTTTCTTATTTAGAAATATTATCTTATGTGGGAATTCCCCTTATCTGGGTCTAACGCCGTCTCTGATCAGTCATGCAAGTCATAACAGACCGATAAGTCATACTTTCCTGAAGGTCTTTTCCGTGTCCTGCAAAGGAATTGGCTTGGTGTTGAAGGCGGAGAAGACCTTGCCCACAGACCTGGAAGACATTTGGACTAGAGGACCCAAGTGATGGGCGACTTGGATGGTTTTCCTCGAGATGCCAAGAAGCCCTATAGGAAACCCTGATGCATCAGTCCTCTACGAGTTGCATGCGTTTGGTATTTAGGTGAACAGTATGCTTCTGGCCAGTTGTTACCCCAACCTGACCTGAGCCTCAGAAGGTGAAGATGAGGGGTCACCAATCAGTGATGCTTTCGATCAGGCTGCTTCCCCTTCCTCAGCGGCAGGGGAGCTGGCCTGAATCCAAATCACAGCCTCCTGGGTGCTCAGCCCCTTCTAGCACAGGATCTACTCTCAGTAGGCCTCTTTCCTCTCTACTCCTCCCTCTCCTTTCTCTCTCTCTCCCTCCCCTCTCTTTCTCCCTTCCTTCATCTCCTCTCTTCTCTTTCTTTCTGACACCTAAACATTGAGAGTTCTTTCATCCCTTTTGCCTGCCTTCAGAAGAGAAAGCTCAGCACTCACCTGGCTTATGTCAGAGCTGGGGGCTGGTGCTTAGTGATTCTGCAAGAATCCCTGCATCACATTTTGCTCCAGGGGAGGACATGTAGTGATGCTTAGGACGTCTCACTGGGTGCATAAATGAAGGCATCAACCCCCACTGCCTCTTTGCTGTCCAGGCTCTTCAGGAAGCTCAGCTCCCATCAGCGATGCTCTGAGTTGCCAGTTCTCTCTTGGGTTCTCATCACACCAAAGGGAAAGTGCAAAGGAGCAGAGCACCCCAAACTCATCAGGCCCAGCCAGTAGCCTGATCACTACAGAACTATATTTTTTAAGTGCTACATAGAAGTAGTAGTTGATGATCACAGATGTGTGAGCCCATCCAAGCAGCCTGGGACGACAAGTGTCCATAACTGAGCAATGCCTACACTGTCCTAAGCAGTCCTAATACAAAGTGGTTAGCAATAGTTCTGCTGGCAGCCACCCCCAACTGGACCTGCTGTTTCATGTCCCATAGTTGGGCCACTTTTTCCTGTGCTTTCCTGTGGAAGATTTAGTTTTCCACAGAAACTTATCCTATATGATCATCAACAGACCACCCCACTCCTGGGAACATTTTCAGACCCCTAGGTTTGGACACGGGCGTCTGTAGGGCTCTTCAGGGCATCCTTAGGTCAGGTCCAGAACATCTGCTTTCACAAATCTTGCACTCAAGCCAGCTCCTGTCTATGATTAAAGTCTTCCTTTAAAGGCACAATGGGCTGCAAGATGGCTTTAAGTTTCAGAGAGGCCCACAGAATGAGAAAAGGCTGATTCTCTGGAGAGTTCAGCAAATCCAGAAAGGCTGCCAAGAACCTTGTTGTGAGCAGCTTGTGGTACACAGAGGGGAAGGAATCTTGTTAATTCCAAGTGCAGAAAATGAAAGCAGCATCTGGAATTAACAAAGTATGGCTTATCTGATATTTTTATGAAGGAATTGCAGGGTATCTGCTTGTTCTGGGAGATACAGACTTTTCAATAAATATCAGATGGAGCAAGTCTTGGTGTGGGTGTGTAATGGTCTCCTGTAGCCCTTTCCACTTCTGCCCACCCCTGTGCGGTGCTGGTTGCCAGCTGGGGGTGTTCCGTGAGCGTGTCTCTGCCGTGTACTAACCCTGGTCTTTTCCCTCTCTGCCAGTACACCTCTAAGTTACTGTCTTGCAAGGTGACTTCCGAGGTACTTTTCAACTTGTTTGTCTTGGTCTGAATGCATGCTTGATCCAGGTGCATGCTGTCATGGTTTGCCATTTCCTGATGTGTTCAATGCGAATGGCAAGGAAAACAATGGCTTGTCTCCGTGTGTATTTCTTCCTGACTCTTCCGAACTGGGGGACTTCCTCGGAATGTTGGAGTCCCCCAGCAACGAGACACAGTGCTGCGTTTGCTGTGTGGTGAGGTGGACTTGGAGAAGAGTTTGCCCATACATGGATCTGGAACATGTTTGAACTACAGGGCACAGCCGATGGGCTGCAGGGATTCCTTCAGGTCCTTTACACATTGATAACACTTATGCTCTGGTCTGGTTTGAAAACAGTGCAGAACATGCAGGCTGAGCTGTGGATTCTGACCAGTCCTTTACTACCTTAACACAAATGCACAGAGCTCCGTCCCATGGATTCAGGATGAGTTATTCCAAATGCAAACCATCTCAGAGCCCCTCCCTCCAGTCTTTTTTTTTTTTCCTGGTGTTTTTGAGACAGGGTCTTGCTATGTAGTTCAGGCTGGCTTCGAACTCGCTATGATCTTCCTGCTGCAGCCTCCCGAGTCCCTCCAGTCTTGAAACCTGTATTTTTGTCCTGGAAACTTTCTTAAGCAATGATCTCCCTAGAAGCCTGTTTTCCTTCTCCTACAGCTCCCTTGTACACAGATTTCAATTACCTATGAGAAAGCACACACTTTTCATTTCTATGCTGTTTTGGTTTTCTTTTAAAAGACTTACCGGAAGTATACAGCTAATACAAGAGCAAAACTCCATTGTGTGTTAGGCACTGTTCCAGGATCCTAGAGCACAGCAGCCAACAAAACACATTTCCCGACATCATGGAGCTGGCATGTCACGTTTTTGGTAATATAATGAGACAATGAAATCCACCTCGCCAGCTTTGCCCATTTTTATAATACTACTTAATATTTTCAGAAGAAGTGAATGCTGCAAATGCAGTTCAAGCCCTCTCGTTCCTTCTCCCAGTTTGCACTTCTCTGTCTTTGTCACACATTTTCTGTACCCTGAGGTAACCGTTTTTGACCTCGGTGCCCATTTCCATGCATGTTTTTGTATCACGTATTGAAGTATACAGAAACAACACTTTACATCTTTGCATGTTTTATAACCATTTACTGTGTATTGGTAAGTCATCTTATAGTAGCCTCTGTTCTTTATTCTGTCTGCCTTATTTTTTAGATATGCCCTTGTTAAGAGGGCTCTAGTACACTTATGATAATTGGTGTATAGTATTCCACTGAATGGATATATGACCATTTATTCACTGTCCTATTGATGGAAACATAGGTTGTTTCCATGCTTTCACTGTTGTTGTTGTTGTTATTATTTGTCATGACAAACAATGTTTCAGTGAATGTTCTTGTATGTCTCTTTATTCATCAATAGAACAATTTCTCTCCCTAGAGTGGAACTGGGTATAGGGCTTGGACATCATCACAGTCAGTGGCTAATGTAAAAGACTCTTCAAATTGTTTGTACCAGGGCTGGGGATTTAGCTGAGTGGCACAGCGCCTGCCTGGCCAGCGCAAGGTCTTGAGTTTGATCCCCGGTACGGAAAAAAGCAAAACAAAACAAAACAAAAAAACAAAAAACAAAAAAAAAATTATTTGTACCAACCTACAGCATATGTATTTTAAATATATTTCACTATTTAGCAAAATAATTACACTTAGCTATAGATTTGAGCTGTTGATTATTAATTTTTGTTAATAAGGCATGAACATACCTCGGTTACCAAAGTTACACTGTTTCAATAGAGATTCATTTATTTTTTTACCTATGCCATCATGAGGGAACTGTAGATGTGATCAGAAATTCAGGATCATAAGTGGCCATACAAGTTAGTGGAAATGAATTAAGAAAGGAGCTTATTATGGGTACAATAAGTGAATTGTTTGGGCTTTCGACTATTAGATGTTGAAACCTTTAGCTATGCTAAAGGTTTCCATCATTAGAAATACTATTTTTCTGCCCATTAGATATTTTGTGACTAAGCCCCATGAGGACAGGGACTGTTCTATCTGCAACATGAAGCAATGGGCCTGACATTTGCCAGGAACCCAGTCAATATCTGTAAGGTGAACAGACAGACGAGTTGCAACACAGCCCTCTGAAGAGTAGATCGAACTAAATTTGCTCAAGACGACTGAGCATTAAAACAGAATTTAAAGGGGCTGGGGATTTAGCTCAGTGGCACAGCTCCTGCCTGGCAAGCACAAGGTCATGAGTTTGATTCCCGGTGCCGGAAAAAAAACAAAAAAAAAAAAACAAAAAAAAAACACATTTTAAATAATAAGGCAAGGGATGTTTGAAAAGGATGGGGACTAGTTTTTTTTTTACAGAACATTAGATGTATTTTCAGCTTTCATAGAAAATTTTCTGTTTGTATATACAGTCTAAAAGGCAAACAGATGACCGCTTTACACAACATAGAGTGTCCATTAAAATGCCTTGTATTCTAGTGCATGGTTTAAAAATCCTTTCACATGATACAAATAATTGATAATGTACTGTGCACTTGGAACTATACTCAGTACTTTATGTACATTATTTCATATATTCCTCAGGCCAACCCTGTGCTATTGTTTTTATTATTTTATGTGGGGATACTGAGGCACAGAGTAGGTGACTTTTCCAAGATCACATAATCACTAGGCTTTAAACTTAAACCTGCCTGGACATCAGAGGATACACCGCCTCCTGAAAAAGCATGTAAAGTAGCGCAGGTACAGTTCCCAATTTGTTGATGAAGAATCTTGAAATACAAGATAGACAACAAGGGACACAACTGAAGCTAGGAGCTGAGCATGGTGGCTCAGACCTGTGGTCCTAGCACTTGGGAGGCAGGAGGACCGTGAGGTGAAGGCCAGCCTGGGCTACACAGTGAGACCTTATCTCAAAATAAACAGGCAGACAGGCAGACATGCAGACAAACAAAGAAACAAAAAATAAAATGTAAAGCCCTTACAAGTACAGTCCAGCGCTGTTTCTCAGTTCCATGCCCCTACCCGCTGGGCAGAAAAATCCTTCATTTAGCTACACGCATTTCTGACTGGTGTGTTATGCTTAGACATTCAGTGACCGTGGTGTGCCGATACGCAAACCGCCTGATGATGTGGCTTAGGTGCCTAATAACGCACATGCACTCGGCAGACATAACCCGGTGCCTCCTCCAGCTCAGGTCCAGCTGTCCCCGCTGAGGAGGAAGGCACACTGCCGCTCTTGATAGTCCACTCATTAACAAAGGCACAGGGGAGGATGCTGAGATGGAACCCCAGTCCTTTCTGCCAGAATCTGCTCACACCCATCCTCCCCTCTGTGCTGTGACCTGCCCCTCCCTGCTCCTCTGGAGTTGCCAGTATCACTGCCCCTTGCTTAAATAAGTATTTTTAGCTGAAGCAAGGCCTTTGGAAAAGGTTTGGAAAATCAAGCTGTGCCGGCTGTACTGGACTTTTCTTTAAAATCAGAAGTGAGACATGCTAAGCTAACGCCGGAGCACTTGGTCAGCGCACACGGGCTTGCTCTCCTGCGGCATCATCACTAGAACCATTTCTCATGCGATGGCCACCTCAGTGTCATTCATCGGGATCTCATCTTAATCAAACTAAAGCTGGAACAGAGGAGCCAAGTCCCCACTTAGGAGCTTACAGACCAGTCTAAGGAACAGAGGGAGGCCCCACCTAGAGCCTCTTTCCCGTGGTGTTCCAAGCTTTAATTTTCACAGACATGGCCCTGAAGTTACACCAAAATGTGAGGTTGCTTTTTATTGACCTGAAAAGCTATTTTTTCCACTTAATGACTTTGTGTTTAATTATACCGAAGTAGATTTTTGCCATATAAATATCACAGCGTATGCAGATGCACAAAGCTTGGTGGATTGAATCCACGCTGGTCCGCTAGTTACTGATTGCTTCCTGATCTGCTTGTTTAGAAAAAGACTAAGAGGATCTGTAGCTCTGCTGTACAATATGATAGTCACTAGCCAAATGGGGCCATTTAAACATAACTAAGTTAAAATTAAATGAAATTAAATACTTAGTCTCTCAGCCATATGGCCCCATTTGAGGCGCTCAGTAGCCACATGCGCATAGTGACTGCCGTAGTGGATGGCATGGACTCATCTCGGAGATTTCTGTTGAACAGCACAGTCCTGGATAGCATGTAGTGATCTGTTTCATCTGAGCACTTGTGCAGCAAGCACAACGTACAGGGAATACCAGCACCACCACGAGGTGGCGGGGGAAGCCAACCTGACATAGATCCAAGTCTCGTTCAAAAAACGCTCGCAGAATACTGTGTAAGAATTAAATCTCACAGCTGGGCATGGTGGCGCATACCTGAACTCCTAGTACCCTGAGAGGCTGAAGCAGGATTTCAAGTTTGAGCCCAGACTGGGAAATTTGGTTAGCGAGAGCATGTCTCGAAATAAAACATAAAGGAAGGGCTGGGGATGCAATCCTCAGTAACACGAAACAAAAACAAAACACCTCTACACTGGAAACGAAGAGCCAGGCAGGGAATGAATTTGGGCTTTGAAATAAATGCATACCCAGAGTTCCGTATCCCTCTTTTACCTGTCTCTCCTGCTCAGCCCGCCACCCCTAGTACTACCAGATATTTTCCTGCTTCCTTCTCATGTAGGTGCTGTAGAAGGAAGGAAGGAAAAAAAAAAAAAAGAAACAGGAAGTTGGCGTGCGTGTGTGATTGACATCCACGAACTCTGTATAACTTTTCCCCCTCTCTGTTTAGGTCCTTGAGGCCACACGAGTAAACCGAAGAAAGAGCGCACTGGCCTTGCGCTGGGAGGCAGGAATCTACGCCAACCAGGAGGAAGACAACAACGAATAAATGTCCTTCGGCCCAGGAAGCTTCTTTGGTGCTTGGGATACCAAGAAACCAAGAAATGATCAAATCAAAGCATTTTAATGGACTATTTATTAAAGTGCATACAAACTCAGCAATCTTCTTATGTAGACCAGAGGCTGCAATACACAATGATGAAAAATAAAGTGAAAAGAAAGTCCACCCATCAAACTCTGAGACCCAGGAGTCCTAAGAGAAAAGCTTTCTATGGGACTCAAAGCAGACTCTGGGTTTGGATTAGTCCACATTCCATCCAAAAGAGCAAAGTCAATACAAGCAAAGCAACACAGTTGCCGTAGGCAGAGCCGGGCCCAGCCTTACCGGCCGGTGGGGAAACACCGTAGTGACAGAGCCATTCAGAGAGCGGTAGGCTGTGTGGTCTACACCGCATAGCATATTTCTCTGAACCAGCTTCCCAGTCTTTGCTCATGACATCAGAGGTTGACTACATTCTTTTTTCCAGCAGCCATAAAATCAGTGGTGTTTTTCTCCGTAGTTGTCCAAAAGAGGCAGCTGTGATTCGGTTTCTCTGACACTTATTTTTAATTGGAAACAATCAATGATTGCAGTATACAAAACCTGTGTTTTTAAGACAATATTTCTTCACATTGCAGATACAATCTACTCTGCAATAGGGGTTAAGAAAGCGGGAAAGAAAGCCGAACCAAATGGATTATTGTAGCTTTAGAATCTTGTCTGCTTATACTGTTGACTGATCTGCAGCTTAGGAGAACACATTTTCACAGTTATGTTTCTTCATATGAAAACTATATTTAGCGGGCAACAACTATTTTTATGATGGGATGGGGTACATACACGTGGATAAAATCTGTACACATTGAACTGCTTTGTTCAAGACAGTAGGAGTATTTTTAGAGTGGCAATAATTGAAAAAAGGGCAAACTCTGACTTAGAGAGGTAGATGATAAGAAATAAAAAGGTGTTTATAGCTATTTTGTATTATAAAGTGGGCCTTAGAGGTAATAGGGAGAAAGACAGGTGGTTTTGAATCAATCAGAAAGGAAACATTACGGTCATGAAAGGAGGGAAATAAAAAGGAAGGGCGGGTAAAGCAGGGAAACAAGGACGTAAGAGAGATTATTTTTGCTGAGCAACCAGTGTTTTTCAGGGTGATAAAGAGAAAATTATAGAATTTTCAGTGCAGGCTTGGAATCAGTTATAGATCCTAAAGATGGGGTATATATGTGTACACCTTTGTGCATTTGTGTAGTGTATGTTCACAAGGGTGTGTGTGTGTGTGTGTGTGTGTGTGTGTGTGTTGTTAGATTTCCAGATTGACCATGGCACCTGGGTGTACAGTTATTTCCTCCAAAGCTGTTTGCCAGCTTTAGGAGTGAGTGAGAATTTCTTTTTTATGAAAAGGGATATAGAAGCACCGAGCTGATGCAGTATTTGTAATATTAAATTGACCTAACATGGTATTCGCATGAGTCACAGTTGCAGAGTTTTGAGCGGTTTTGTAATGGACACTTAGGAATGTATCCTATTTATTCCCATACTTTGTACTCTTGCTTAGTAGCCTATAGAAGACGCCGGCTGTACTCTTTCTGTCATTTAAAGCAATATGGTAAGGGCATTCACTTACTGGGTGCCCTACATTTCTCAATGAGAAAAATGTTCAATTTCTGGCCATGAGATAAACAAAACAAAAAGAAAAAAAATCAAAAAAAAAAAAAAAAAAA